TTTTATTACTCATAGCTAGTTGTAACTTGCAATTAAATTGTGTGTCAATATTTTTAATATAAAATAGTTTTACTATGTGTCCAATAATAATTTTAATGTATTACCGGTAATCTTTTGAATATTATTTTGCAATTTAATAAATATTCGTATTATAACCCAAATTGAAAATTATTTTCTAAACAAAATACTATAATAGTGTTGTAGATAAACACAATCTATTGTTTAGCACTGTATGTATTATTAAATAATAAAAATATTTATAATTTATGTTTTATATTTATTTCATGCAATTAATTAAAATTTTGTACTTTTCTGTTAATTTATTAGTGTTATTAATGTGAATATAATTTATTATATAATAATTTACAACTAACTAACCTTTATAAAATATATTATATTGAAACTATTATTTAAACAAATATTATTTTGGATAGAAAAATATAATAATGTATAATATGAGATGATATTGGTGAAACTTAAAGGGAAACACTTATACTAGGTCGTTTAATTTAAAAATTAAATTTTGAATCTTATAAAACAAAATGTTTAATAACTTATACTGTACTATGCGGTAAATAAAATTTTTCTAAATAACTAATCCAACTATATAAAATTTATAATTTTAAAAACTTTGTATTTCTTATTTTTAAAATACAATGCGCAACCATGAACCTTGATTATTTATTTAGCTGATATTTCGTAATCTCCACAAAAATTTCATAATTAATACAACATATCCGTAAATACATATTTAGTTTACACAGTAACGTATATTGTATTTATTATCTGCCTAGGTCAGTACACAATTCACACATATTAATACAGTTTGTATTAAACAATCATCTGATACCAGATCATTTAAGCGACTTTCCTTTTAACCATGAAATATGTATTTACACATAAAAACATTATTTTTACTGATAATCTATGTGAATAAATGCACATGCTAATTTAAACAACAAATTTATAATTACTTAAGAAATGGTATAAAAGCTGTACAAAAACATAAAATAAAAAATAAATTGTTATTAAAAAATATTTAAAATGAATACTTTATTCGCGTGTTTCGTCGCATCCCTGGCCGTCGCACAGGTAGCTCTCGGGGACGACCCGTTAGCTGCGGCAAAGTGTCGGTCCCTTCATCACGTGGATGTGGAACCGGTGGGCACACAGTATATGAACCAGAAATGTGAGCTAGATTGTAATGTTCACGGTACCGTCTACCACCACAATATGTCCGAGGGTTTGGCATGCCCTGGGCTTAATGCAACTAAAAATGTATGTAACTATTAAAGTAAACTTAGAAATACAATTGACTGTATTACTACCTAGCTATTAAAATATAATACACTATTATTTAAAAAAATATTTAGCATATTGAAATTTTTAATTTATTATTTACAGTCACATAATAAATTATAATTTATTTAATTAAAATGACTAGATTACATTGTAAAAGCTCATAATTATAAAAATTGATTGATACTATCTAACTACATTATAATATTGCTACAGGTGTGCATTGGTGGCAAATGTGTGGCTCCCATTAAATTGGGTTACATTGACATCGAGATGAACTCGGCCTCCCTGGCCAAAGCCGTTTCCGGTAAGAGATATAATATTATAAAATTGATCCGGTTCATGCAATTAAATTATTAATTTAACATTTAATCCTTGTTTAATAGCTTACGCTGACGTGTGCCTACAAAATTCATCCACAACTGTAGAGGTATATAAATACTGAGATCCCTTTCCCCTGCTAACTAATCACATATATTCTATATCAAGGCTATATGAACTTGACATAATTGTATTTAATTTTATCTCTATAGTTACCTATTGTAAATCGTACAACGTGTGTCACGTGTCAAACTAAAGTGGCACCCACCTCTACCAACCCCATATGGGGTGTGGTATGTCAGGGCTCCCACAACTTCACATGGGTACAGGAGTCCCGCGTGACCTTTGAACTCTGGGAACAGGGATCCGGCAAAAATGTACGCCATTTTGTATTGGTGTGCGCATTTAATTAAATGCGTTGACCTTTTGTACAATTATAATGTTTATAATTATTTTTAATTATATTAATATTTTATTAAGACATTCGGAGGTGGCGCCTCCCTGTTGATCACCGAGTTATTGGCACATGGTGATAGTCATAAAAGCATTCAATTGCCTCTGGCTAGAGGTGATAATTCAGGAAAAATGACCGTGATGGTCACGTGGACTCCCAAATGAATTAGCAGCTTGATTATAAAAGGTTGTTTATCATTATTTGATTTATAAAATAAAAATTTTAATTTTTGAATACTTTAGTTTTTCACATGGCTAGTAATAAATATAGTTAACTGTTTATGATAAAATAAAAATGAGTTATTTATTTAAACATGAAATCGTTTACAATACTAATTATATATTATGTCACCAAGTTATCATTTCTAATGAACAATGGTGGTTTATTATTTTTAGATTTTAAAATTTTATTTTTATATTTTAATTTTAATTGAATTTAATTAGGCGTCATTCACAAAGTACGTACGCAAAAATTAGGCCTAAAATTTACCCCCTCCCCCTAGTTGCACATCGTACGCATATCAAGACCCCCAAAGCGTACATACGCTTTGTTACCATTCAATTATTTATTATAATAGGTCGTACAAGAGAAAATAATTCTCGCAAAATTTTAATGACTTTTTTGTTATGAGCCGTAGCCAAGATCGGTAAAAATTGTTGTGTACATCAATTTAATGCAGTTCATATACAATTAAAATAAATTATAGAAAAATGTAAAGTCGTGGAAATAACGGAACGACTTCTAAGGTGATATGTACAGGTCAGACGAAAGGGCATAGGTCAAAATAGTTTAGTGCATCTGAAAGAGCAATAAATGAACTTTCATTTAAGTCATGGTTTATAAAAATCTGATTGGTAATAAAGGCAGGATGGTACCAAACATAAGATAGGATATCCCATACTAATGACAAATATTTTAGAAATAATTGAATATTAATATCAAAATACATACTATCAATGGTGCTAATAATATATCTGAAAGAATTTTTAAATTATTCCAAATAGAAAGGAAGACAGAGTTTTTAATATCTCAATTTATGTACCGTAAGTGACAAAATTCAGAATATTCAAACCACAGCCATTCCATTATTAATGTGAATAATTTAAAAATTCTTTTAGTTATATTATTAGCACCATTGATAGCATATATTAAGATATTAATATTCAATAATTTATAAAATACTTGTCATTAGTATGGGATATCCTGTCTTATATTTTGGACCATTCTGCCTTTATTACAAATCAGATTTTTATGAACCATGACTTAAATGAAAGTTCATTTATTGCTCATTCAGATACACTAAACTATTTTGATCTATGACCTTTCGTCTGATCTGTACATATGACCTTTGAAGTCGTTCCGTTATTTCCACGACTTTACATTTTTCTATAATTTATTTTAATTGTATATGAACTGCATTAGATAGATGTACACAACAATTTTTACCGATCTTGGCTACGGCTCATAACAAAAAAGTTATTAAAGTTTTGCGAGAATTATTTTCTCTTGTACGACCTATCCTATTGTATTACCATTCATTAAAATCATTGATAATATAAATATCTGGACTAATACAACATACGCTTTCATACGTTTTGATATGACCACCCCGCCCCTAGGCTTGCGTACGTACTTTGTGAATCACGCCTTATATAATATTTCATTAAGATTTGTATAAATTCTAAATAAATGTGTGATAAATCGTCAAAATCACTAACTTTTATAGCCTTTAATAGTTTATTTTCAATATTCAGAACTTTTCACAAACTTTCCATTATTACTGTATAGTTAATGTACACTTTTTGTATCTGACTTTATAGTCAAAAAGTGACTCAAATATGTTTTCTTGGTCAGCACAATAACTTAAAATATTGTTTCCCTTTGCAATAAAATAAAACAGTTTAGTTCATTACCTCGTGTTTTGTCTATACCTGGCCTCGGCTTTCAATTTAATTGTCTGCCCGAGGATGGGTCGCTGGTAACAGCTCTTAAAGCCTTGCCTATCGTTTAGGACGGGAGGGGCTGCCCCTACGGGCCGGAAACTCATCGGTATATCACTTAATTGTGATTTAAGTCGGAAATATTGATTGTAATCTCCGACTGTACGTAAACTCGACAATCATCTGAAGGCAGCACTCATTTACAACCAGAAGTGCTAATCATTTGGATCAGAAGTTAGGCTATTGTGTACAGCCTTCGAATAACAGTAACTACACCCTAACACCGCATCGGCCAACATATTGACACCAATTATTAGTCCAAATCACAGTTTTATTATAAATGCAAACTAAATTATAAATTACTTATAAGTTACAGTATTATAAAATTTATATTTATACAGTATGTTCATATTTTCAAATGAAAATAATCAGGCAGAATGATATCGGCGACATATGCTGGATCAGTATAGGTTACCTTTTGTATAACTAATAACCTAATAACTTTTGAAACTTGTAAATTTTGTACTTGTAAATTTTTTACCTCATGTAGGACCTAATCACTATATCGATTACGTGCCGGGTTACTTAAATTATAAGAGTGCCAATGAGTGCGAAAAGTGTAAGCTAGGCTTAAAACACTTACAAATTAATATATGATTGGCAAAACTAGTTATAACATTCATATTGCAGAAATAGGTCAATATAGTTACCCGGATGTCAGTACATTAGTCTAATTATTATCAATTCGGAGGATTTAGAACATTTTTAGTTCATTAGTACTGACATTTAGCACCGATATCACATACAAATGCTAATGTATTTTGTCCTCTTAAATCTGATTAAAAAATTACGACAAAAAGTTATTAAAACTTTATTGGTTTGTGACGTTATCCCTGTTACCTTACTTTTAAATCATAAATATAACCTTGATGGATATAATATATAAAAGAGAAATAATATTCTTTACATTTAAGTAAATTTACTAAATAAAGATGAGGTGGATACTATTTCCAGTTATTATCCAGATATTTGTCACATGTGTCCGGGCGAGTGACAAAGTGTTTTGGTATGAGAGTCCGGCCGCGGGCGGCATGAATGAGGCTCTGCCTATCGGTAATGGACGGATAGGTGGACTCATTTATGGACACCCGGGTTAGTCATAGAAAATAATTAAATATTGAATTTTCTATAAATATCTATTTCTCTATGCCTGACATATGAGCCAGTCAAAGCCAGTCTAATATACAATGTATTACAATGAACTATAGGTATTAAATTTTAATATAAAACCTATCATATAAGTTTAGTTACAGTTCATTGCTATGTATTGGCATTTGGACATGACATATTCTGGCTTTGACTGGCTCATATGGTTAAAATGTAAAACACTATATGAAGCAGTTTACGGAGTGAAGCAGTCTGTTTTTGTTAACACAAACTGTAAAACAGTGTGTATTATGTACTATAATAATTAAAACACAAATTACCTTATTAATGATTATTAAAAGGTTTTAATTTATTTAGAAATGAAATGTGTTTTATAAATTAGATTAATTAAAACCTTTTAATAATTATTAATATGGTAATTTGTGTTTTAATTATTATATTAATGATTGCCTGAATTTGCTTGTATATTAATACACACTGTTTTACAGTTTGTGTTAACAAAAACTGCTTCATATGACAAAACAATAATTTTATGACTTTGCTTATGATATTAATCTAATGTTTGTGTGAATATCGATAATATAAAACTCAATTTTAGCTTAAATTATAAATACCTTTAATGTCCGCCATAGAGATATAATAAACTAGTTAATTTTATCAGTTATTATAAACTGTAAATTTAACATCCGAAACAATTGACTTAAAGTTATATTAAGATTAAAAATTTAATATGTGTATAAAAAATCATTAAAAATTTTTTTTTCTGAATATCCCGGATATTCACGGGTCGTGAAAAAATTACAGATACAGAGTGGATAGTTATGAATGAAATAAGTTTATGGACGGGCGATGACAACCCTTCTCAATCGTACAACGACCCCGGTTATGGCGATTACCAGATGTTGGGTAATGTTTTCATTTTTCTAACCGATCATAAAGACAACACTCATTACAAGCGAGCGCTGGATATCGGGGACGCCGTGTCGACCGTCCAATACGAAGCGCATGGCGTTCAATACAAACGCGAGTACTTTGCGAGCCATGTGTCGCAGGTATTGGTCGGCCGATTGACCGCCGATAAGGGAAAGGCATACACCGGTCGCATAGAACTGCAGGACTCGCATAACTCGACCCTTCATGCGGTGAACAATACGATCGCAGCGGACGGCGAACTAGTGAATGGTTTGCGGTTTGCGTGGAAAGTGTTGGTCCAAAATACCGGCGGAAGTCTCAAAGTGAACGGCGCTGTCATTGAGTTCAACGGCTGCGACGCCTTGACTCTCATCGTTAGCGCCGGTACTGACTATGTGTTCGACGACTCGAAGAAGTTTAAGTCCGGCGAAGACCCGGCTGTTCACGTAAAAGAGTGGTTGGGGAAGGCCGCCGAAAAGTCATACGATAGCCTACGGGCGGAACACCTGTCGGACTTCCACGCGTTGTTCAATAGGGTTGACGTGGATTTGGGTGAGTCGTCGGCGCAACAGACGGCGTCACCGACCGTTAAGCGGAAGGTCGCGGCCGTCAATACATTTGACCCGGACTTCGAGGAAATGTTTTTCCAGTTCGGACGGTATCTCATGATATCGTCATCGCGAGGGAGTCTTCCCGCCAACTTACAGGTCATTTACAAAATGTTTCCGATCATTCATTTATGTAAACTATAATATCATATACAGTATAAATAACTATATTATGAAAGTAACCGCAATTTTGGATTAGTTGTGAGACTAAAGTTTTTTATGATGTTAACGTTTAACTTATTGAAGTTTATTAACAATTAATTTCATATTTATATAATCAGGGTCTATGGAACGACAACAATAACCCGGCCTGGCATGCTGACTACCACGGGAACATTAATTTACAAATGAACTATTGGCCTGCGGAAACAACTAACCTTGGTGAATGTCATTTGCCACTATTCAATTTTATTCAGAGTCAATTGAATCCTTGGCGCAGACAAACACGTGCTTCCGACAAACTACTGACACCTGATGGCAAACACTCGTCGAAAGGTGTGGCCTGTATTGGAGAGCATAATATCTACGGAGGAATGGGTTTATTCCTTATGGATGGACACATGGATTGGGATAAGACGGTCACCGCTTGGTATGTATAGCGAAAAATGTGCATTATTAATAGTTGGTTACAGGCTAATTGAGCTACGTTAAAGTTATTAATTAAAAATAAATGTTTTGACCACTAAAACGTGAAAACTGTAAGTAGGTCAAACGCCTGATAGACCTGAAACGCCCGAGTCCAAAAATAATGCAATCATGTGAATGTCTAAAAATAATTTTTTATATCGAGCACAGGTATGCGCAACACTTTTGGGAACATTATGCGTTCACAATGGATAAGACATTTTTAAAAGACGTGGCGTATCCCTACCTGAAAGAGGTGTCCGAGTTCTGGGACGAGCACCTGAAGACTGTGACAAAAGGCACCAAAGAGCAGTTGGGAAAACTGGTTGTCCCTAACGGGTAATCACCAGAACATGGACCTGAAGAGGACGGCTGTAGCTATAATCAAGAGATTGTGTGGGATTTGTACACAAATTACGTGAAAGCGGCGGACGTTTTGGGAGTCGACAAAGAGTTCAGGGATCGCATAGTGGGTGAGAGGGATAAGCTGTTATGGCCAGGGATTGGATCGTTCGGACAATTGATGGAATGGATGGAAGAACAGCCCGGAGAGAAGACCGACCATCACAGACATACTTCCCATTTGTTTGGCGTATATCCGGGACACCAATTCAATTGGGAGACAACCGCCAATTTAGCCAATGCGTCCCTGGTATTTATCGCGATATTTTTAGGCCTACCTTAAGCCATATACATTACGCCTATTGGTTGGGTTAAGTGCACTACCCATATGCTATGTTCTGTTAGGGTAGGCTCATTGTTGCAAAACTTACCCAAACTGCATATACCATACGGATAATGCAGTTAAGCCAACCTAAACGTTGTGGAGTATATGCCTCCCTGTGGGCCTATTTTTATTCCCAAACCTGTATTCACTGTTTATATCCGATAAATATCACAAATAGGTGTCGCTTAATGCCAGGGGTATAGACCCATCCAGTGATGTGAGGGAGTGGTCGTTCGCGTGGCGCTCAGCCCTATACGCTCGGCTCAGGGATGCCGAGAACGCCTACCAGTTATTCCGCGTATTGCTCGCTGAGCGGAATACCAATCCAAATATGTTTGGCAACTGTCCTCCGATGCAAATCGACGGCAACTTCGGTATAACCGGAGCCATCCCCGAATTCGTGGTCCAGAGTCACGCGGATGTCATTGATTTGTTGCCGGCTCTGCCCGCGAACTGGAAGGTCGGACACGCGAAAGGTCTGCGGGCCAGAGGGGGACACGAGTTGGACATCTATTGGGAAAATCATACGTTGAATAATGTTTTGATTAAGAGTGCGGTCGCCGGCGAAGTTAAAGTCAAGTTTGGAAATACTGTCAAAACGATTAAAGTAGATCCGAGTAAAGAGATTCATTTAGATCACAATCTGAATCCAATTCCTTGATGTTTAGAGAAAATGTCATTTTAATTAATTGTGAAATAAAAGTTTCGTTATAAAATATTATGTACTAACATACCTTATATACATAATATTATATTGTCTTTTTTATGTCAAAATCATTTTTAGAATTTATTTTATATGTAATTAATAATAAATATTGAGTTAAATATAATATCATAAAAATAATAATTATAAGTTATAGTATAGTCAATTTTTGTATAGCAAAAATTTCATCAATGCAAAAACAAAAGTGTTTAATGAAAAATTACATACTTTTGTTCCCAATCCACTTCAACTTTTTTTTATCAAATATAATATTATTTTCCAAAGTTTTTGTGTTCAGTGCAAAATTCGGGCATTTACTGTAAAATTCCTGAGTTCTCAACTCCTCAGTTATGTATTGCTCTCAGTTATGAACTGTAAAATATTTTTTGACGGATTGCCTATACCTATAATGTTAAATACATTCTCTATTATGAACTTCCCAGTTATGTATATTTCCTTGTTATGTATTCAAAATGAGTGACTTATGTACTAAAACCTACTCCGAGTTATGTATGACGTGGTAGATATTAGGAGATAACCTGTAGTTTACACATTAAAAACATAACATTTGGATACTTACCTTTAAAAATACCTAAAATTTTGTAATTTTTGTATGTTAAAATTGTAACAACATTATTAATTATGCATATACCAAAAAAGTTGCTCTAAAAATAAAGTAGTCTCGGCCATATATTTCAGACAATTGCATAATCAGGCAATCAAGATTTAGTATTGAATAACGACTAAAATGTATACTGTATTAAATATATATTGGATATATAAACTATATTTACACGGATGTCTGTACCCTAATTCACGTAATAGTTACTATTCCTTTTATTATCAATAAGTTCAACTATCGATAATACCGTTTAGTACAGTGAAAATTAATTAATTAATTTGTGGACAAATAAATTATAGTGCCAATAACTTTATTTAGTGTATCACACTTTTTGTTATGATTCACTATTGTAGAGTTAAATATTAATTATTACCATAGTAATAAATTTGAATAATTTATATTTATTTAAGTCAATGCCATATTTATTGTAACAAAAATACAAGTATTGAAAAATTCCTATCTCAAATATTGTTAGTAGACTCTAGGTTTTGTTGATAAAGTTTAAACTCTCGTCATATTTTTTATATTTTATTATAATCATTAAACCCATTTGTAAATTACAAACTACTTTCACAAAATTTTTTAAAATATAAAATTTAATTAGACTAAATTTATTTCTTAGATATTTCTACCTTCAGGTCAGACCTCAAACTGGAACCTGTAGTCAGATCTTTATTCCTGGACAAATCCGGAGGCTTGGCAACCCCATTACCCTCTTAGAATTTAATCTTAATTGTGAACTATTATCCAATATGTGAACATGTTCATATGTTCATAGATATAACCTTGAAGGACATAATATATAAATGAGAATACAATACTTTGAATTAAAGTTAATTTATTTAGTAAAATGAACTGTATACTATATTATGTTACTATCCAGGTATTTGTCACATGTGTCCGGGCGAGTGACAAAGTGTTTTGGTATGAAAGTCCGGCCGCGGATGGTATGACTGAGGCCTTGCCTATCGGTAATGGACGGATAGGTGGACTGGTATATGGACACCCTGGTTAGTAATAAAAAAAATTTTAATTTATAATAAAGTTTACTTTATGCATATATAGAAATTTGTTTTTAAAACTATCCCGGGTATTTATATCTTTCGCAAACATTACAGATAAAGAGAGAATAAATATGAATGACATAACTTTATGGACGGGCGATGACAACCCGTCCCAAGATTATTGGGGCCCCGGTTTTGGTGATTACCAGACATTTGGTAATATTGTCGTCGATTTACCCGATCATAAAGAGAACACAAATTACAGGCGAGCTCTGGATATCGGGGACGCCGTGTCGACCGTCCAATACGAAGCGCATGGCGTTCAATACAAACGGGAATACTTTGTGAGTCACGTGTCGGAAGTATTGGTCGGCCGGTTGACCGCCGACAAGGGAAAGGCATACACCGGTCGCATAGAACTGCTGGACATCCATAACATTACCTCCAATGCGGTGAACAATACAATCGCAGTGGACGGCAAACTAGTGAATGATTTGCGCTTTGCGTGGAAAGTGTTGGTCCAAAATACCGGCGGAAGTCTCAAAGTGAACGGCGCTGTCATTGAGTTCAACGGCTGCGACGCCTTGACTCTCATCGTTAGCGCCGGTACTGACTATGTGTTCGACGACTCGAAGAAGTATAAGTCCGGCGAAGACCCGGCTGTTCACGTGAACGAGTGGGTCGGGAAGGCCGCCGAAAAGTCATACAATAGCCTACGGGCGGAACACCTGTCGGACTTCCACGGGTTGTTCAATAGAGTTGACGTGGATTTTGGTCAGTCGTCGGCACAACAGACGGCGTTACCGACCGTTAAGCGGAAGGTCGCGGCCGTCATTACATTTGATCCGGACTTCGAGGAAATGTTTTATCAGTTCGGAAGGTATCTCATGATATCGTCGTCGCGAAACAGTCTCCCGGCTAACTTACAGGTCAGTCGCAAAATATTTTATTGAAATGAACTTGTTAAAATTATTTTATATAATTAACGTCTTTGATTCAATAATAATTTCAATATTACCTTGCTGATTGTCTTATAATATTATTATGATCAGGGTCTATGGAACGACAATAATAGCCCGCCCTGGCATGCGGACTATCACACCGACTTGAATATACAAATGAACTATTGGCCGGTGGAGACGGCTAACCTTGGTGAATGCCATTTGCCCTTGTTCAATATGGTTCGGAGTCTATTGAATCCGTGGCGCAAACAAACGCGAGCCGCCAAAGGATTACTGACACCGGAGGGCAAACACTCGTCAAAAGGTGTGGCCACTGCCGGTCAGCACAATATTTACGGAGGAATGTCTTTATTATGGGATGAATGGGATAAGACGGACACCGCGTGGTATGTATGGCGACAAATAATGCGCATCTTAAATAATGGGTTACGGTCGGTTTGACCTAATTTGTAGTTTTTAGAAAGTGCCCTACGTATCCCATGCCCTACTTTCCGCATAAAAACAAATATCCTTTACTCAAATTTTCAGATATTAATATTTTAAATTAATATTTATGAATGAGGTCATTAAGTGCATATTTTAAATAGAATTATATATGTGAAATGTTACAATAATGATTTTAATGAAGTCAATAGTCAGTAAGGGTTGCATTTAGAATTTTTATAACTTTGAAAACAGTGAGTAGGCCAAACTTCTAATAGGTCAAACACTCACATCCATTAATCATATAACAAGGTATAATATATTTTGTAAAATTTTTATCGAGCACAGGTATGCACAACACTTTTGGGAACATTACGCGTTCGGATTGAATGCTACATTTCTAAAGGACGTGGCCTATCCCTACCTGAAAGAGGTGTCCGAGTTCTGGGACGAGCAGCTGAAGGTTGTGACGAACGGCACTAAAGAACAGTTGGGAAAACTGGTGGTCTTTAAGGGGTGGTCACCAGAGCACGGACCCCATGAGGACGGCGTCAGCTATAATCAAGAGATCGTTTGGGATTTGTACACAAATTACGTGAAAGCGGCGGATATTTTGGGAGTCGACAAAGAGTTCAGGGATCGCATTGCAGGTCAGAGGGATAAGCTGTTATGGCCAGGGATTGGATCTTTCGGACAAGTGATGGAATGGATGGAAGAACAACCCGGAGAAAAGGATGACCATCACAGACATACTTCCCATTTGTTTGGCGTATACCCGGGACATCAATTCAATTGGGAAACGTCGCCCACTTTGGCTAACGCGTCCCTGGTATTCATGAATATTTTTAGGTTGACAT